ATGTTTTAAAACATCAGGTCACTATTTGTCCTCGGTATTGGGTGAAATCTCACTTGCTTGGATTATGATGTAAAAAAAAAAATAATAACAAGTAGTAGTAGTAGGGCTAGGGAGATGACCCAGTGAGTAATATGCTTGCTGCACAGGCACAAGGATTCAAGTTCAGATTCCCAGCACCCCTGTAAAAACTGGACCTTTAGGATTGTAACACCAGTGCTGGTGGGTAGAAAAAGGAAGATCCCGAGGGGGGGGGGGTTACTGGCCTGCCAACCTAGCCAAAATGGAAAGGGCCAGGCTCAATGAGACACCTGCCTCAAAAAAATAAGAAAGGGAGAAGAGGCCATCCAATGTTGATTTCTGGCCTCTATATGCAGATACATGGATAAGCACATCTTCACAAACTCGTGTAACAGAGAAATGATAGATGGACAGACAAATAGATGATAGATAGATAGATAGATAGATAGATAGATAGATAGATGATAGATAGATAGATAGACAGATCATACATACATACATATGATGAGAGACAGAGACAGAGACAGATAGATAGACAGGCAGGTAGTGTGAGTGCATGAATGAAATGCCAAAGCCACGCTGCACATGTGTATAGAGCATAGGAGTATACTGCCCCACAGCTCTATACCCAAAAGCACATTCCAAGCAGCAACTGTTTTCATCCCAGCACTGACTGGATGGCTGCCTTCATGTGGGTATTACAAACACTGGAAGACACCCTGTACCTGAGTTAATATTGCTCTCTATCTTCATCACATCAAGCTACAGTGTCACACAACTAAAATTCAGCCACTGAAGGATGCTGTACTAAAGAGGTGGTGGCAACTGGGGTGGATCATGAGATACAAAGAAACCAGGGAAAGTCAAACAACATATAGCTAAGAGGAATTTGCCCATGAAGATTCTTAAATGTCAATAAGTGAACCTCAGTGATGTAAGATGCTAACAGAAAAGGTTGGTGAAGAGTGTGCAGAACTCCATGGATAGATCTCTGCAAGTCTTCTGTAAGCAAAACTATCCAAAACATTTTTTATTTTGTTAACACAGCTAAGCTGAGACATGTCCAGCTGGATTGCATCTACAACCCTTCACTCACACCTCCCATCCTGAAGAAGAGCGGACTTCAACAGGAGGGCTCTCTCTAGAAGACAGGAGGTTACAGAGGGGGAGGCAGGGTGCTCTCTGAGGACACAGGACACAATGTAGTTACCCAGAAGGTTTAGAGAGTTTGCAGAAAATCAACATCCCAAATACCACTGAATGCCTGGAAAAAAACAGAAAAAGCATTTGTTTCTGGGGGGGAAACACTAGTCAGAAAAAAATCAACCCTGGGAAATTTACAGAAGAAAACTGGTAACAATGTTCCCACCTTGACGCTCTCTCCTCCGAGTTCTACCACCTCCTCCCCTTCCTACAGTGCACATTACCTCTTGTAACATTTGACCCAAACATGAAGGGCAGGTCAGGAAGTGAGCTAGCTCTGGGGTTAAGGATGCCGAGAGCTCCTCACAGTGGCACAGGATTGTAATCCCAGCACACAGGAGGCTGAGGCAGGAGGATTGCAAGTTTAAGGCAAGCTTGAAACACAAGATAAGATCTTGTTTCACAGAAGGGCAGAAAGGAAGGGAGGGAGGGAGGGAGGGAGGGAGGAAGGAAGGAAGGAAGGAAGGAAGGAAGGAAGGAAGGAAGGAAAGGGAGAAGAAGAAGGGGGAAGGATGGGGAGGTGAAGGGGAGATGAGAGAATTAAAAACAGAGATTGAAGGCATCCGTATTGGCTCAGGACATGCCAAGACCACTTGGGGACAAATCTCAGCACAAGGGACAAAGGGCAGGAAATAAGAGACAAAGACAGGAAACAGGACAAGGGAGAAAGGGAAGGAGTATTTGTCCCGAAGGGACAAAAGACTGCTCTGGATAGCGAGGAGACAGAAGTGTCCCGTATATAAATGGCAGTTTATAAAGGTACAGGGGAAACTCTGTGTTAGGATGGGGTGTTTAATTTTGATTGGGCATGTTAATTAGGTGAGCCAAAGGGGTCTACTGATTGCTGGATTTCAATACTTTGATAGCTGGACCTTGGTAGTAAGCCTCAGAAGAAGGAAGTGGCCAAATAAGAGAACAGGCCTTGGTGTCTAGCTTTAGGAATGTAATCTAACCATTTTCAGCAAGGCAGAGGGAAGGGGGAGAGAAGGGCAAGGCCTGCCAGAGCCATGATTGCCATGCTCGAGCTGGCCAGGGTCCCTTCAGAGATTAGTTCTTTCTGGAAGCATTGTTGAGCAGAGATGAAAAGAATATGTAGACAATCAAATCCACAGTTAAATGCAGCAACTTGAATATTAAGTGAAGACCAACCTAAAAATGCACCGACCCTCCTTCCCGGGTTGCAAATGCATGCATCTGTCTTCTCATTTCTCAGTGCTGTCACTGAGCTCCCACAATGCCAAGGAAGTGGTTTTATATTCAGTTAGGTGGGTCCTAATTCTATGAAGGGCTGGCCTAATTGTCCATTGATCAGATCAGATTCCTCTCCTGTTTCTTCTCCATCAGTCAAAAAGCTTGTTAAGCCCCTGGTAAGTAATTAATATCAATTGTGTAGTTCTAACTTCTCAGGGAACTCCCAAAATCATCCCATCTTCTGAACATACACATTTTAAGTGACTATAACATATAAAAAGTTTCTATAAATCAATAAAAAGATAAATAATTCATTACAAAGAAGTTCATTCTTACTGATAACTATTATTTTGCATACAATTTATCTTTCTAATATGAATTCAACTTACAAGGCTACATATTCCCTATTGTTCTTAGTCAAAGGTTCTTAAGAACACTTTGGGGAGAAGGATTGGGTCAACCTGGCAGAATTAAATGAAACCAATGTCCAAAGCAATTCTTGTAAGGACACAATGCTGGTGATGGCACTAGTGGAATTCTCCCCTGGGATTTACCAGGAACATTCTCCTGCATTGTTCTCTTTGATGTCAAAGGCCACAAAGCCAGGCCTTGTGAGGCCTGGGATTCCAGCTACAGGAAGATCTAGAGTGCAATGTAAGCCTAGGCTACAGAAGATCTCAAGGGTACCTCGGCATTAGTAAGTGAAATACTGCTTTCCAAATAAAAAGCAAAAAAAGAAAAAAGAAAGAAAGAAAAAGAGTGGAAATGTGGCCACTAATATGATGCCATCCCACCCAAGCTGGCCTAGACCCCACCCCTAGTATGCAAAAAGATCATCAAAGCACAAATATAGACCCAAAGAAGAACCATACATACATCAAAGTGGCCTCTCATAGACACCTGAGTACCCAGTCCCTGGACAGACACCTCCCAGCAGTCACTTATCTTCAGCACAACTTTAAACAAAAGTCCCTTATTTAAGCAGAACTAATTAGCATTCCTTCCCTGACCTTTTGCCTATCAAGCAAGGAAAGCTGGGTAAGTTTGTTGTTCAATGAACAACTCCAGTGTGGTTCAAAATCACCCCTGAGACAGAAACTCTGTGTGAAAACCTGTTAACCAACACCCTCTGTGGCCAGAAACTCCATCCCATGTCTTTGCCCTGATGGCCTCCATTTGCTTACCATTTGGATTCCTTACATTCCATTACATTCATCAGACTTGGGAAGAGCATATGTTCACTTCCACCAAAGCAGGATCAGATACAGCAACTGCTCTGTCACAGTTGCTACCACTTACCTCCAGGGTCTGTGGGATTCGGACATAAAGTTCCAAATGCTTGTGTGTTTTGCACTGCAGTGGGGTGATTTCTAATACCATATTATAATCCAGTTCACAAATAAATAATATGTAGTTATTTAATATTATGAAACCTGAAACATCCCATTGGATGGCCCATTTTCCTACCCATGTCAATGTCAAATACTGCCATTGCCAACACAGTACAAGAATTTCCAAAACCATGAAAAAATATCATCATAAAATCAGAGAATTCATGTCACCTAGCAATATGAAACTGTCTCAGCAAATAAACAAGCCTTGAGGCTTGTGGGTGAGCTTTAGCAAAGGATGCCCATCCTGGGAAAGTGCATGGCCCCAAAGCTTCTGCTGTCTTTGGGAACCTCCCATCCACCATGGTTACATGCACCCTTCTGACTGCCTGTGTCTGTTGCTTTCAACCATGATTTTCACATTGCTTTGAGGTAGGTGACCTGAAAACCTAACTGCTAGGAATGACCGCCATAGTAATGTGTGTTCGTCAAAATCCACATTGTTCCCCAACTCCTAAATAAAGCATCAGCTCCACGGTGTGTGCTGTCTATACAGAGCTTTGGAAGGAAAGGAAACCTGTGGGAATAGAACAGGATCCCCAAGAGTACTCTGTTTCAGGAAGAACAGCTACTAAAACACAATGGTAGAAGCACCTTGCCCCTTTTTCCTGAGAGAATAAGAGAACTGAATTTACTATTGTAGAAGGATGCATATTCATCCCAAACCATGGTGACCGGGACTCAACATTCCCTACTATACACACACATGAGGGGTGTTATATGTTGTCTTTGTGAAGCTCATTTTATGTTTTAAAAGATAAAATTCCAAACTTGTTCCTTGAAAGCAATATGAGACCTAAAAGTAACAACTAGTCAACCTCTGAAGGCAAAACAATTGGTTAACAAGTAACCCAGTCACGATGAACAGGTAGTTCATACAATCCAATCAACATGAACTAATAAGATGGATTATTAGCAGATTAACAACCTAAATCAAACATGATCTCCAAGTAAATAGATCAACCACGATGAACTAATCAAGTCATCTAGTACTAATAGAAAACCAACTAAGTGGATCACTATTTAACAGAGAACACAACCAAGTCAACTCTTAAGGTGCCAATTCAGCATCACATCGAACAGAAAAATTTAACACATCCTTGAGTCGCTCTTCGCTGATCCAAACACACCCCAGAAAATCCCGCCATGTTACCGCTGCCTAGTGGGACTGGAAGTGGCCCATGCACCAGTACTTACGGAGGTTATTTATGGGGGTTCTTGTGTCCATGTTCTCATAATGCTGCACGTGGACGACAATGTTAAGGTCTCTCTCCATGTGGTCAGTGTTGCAGTGGCCCTGTGGCCTCATGACATCTGCAAGGGCTCTGGAGGAACAAAGAACAGACTCTGCTCATTTGCAATATTACAGCACATACCTGCCATGTACCCAGCACTGCCCAGTTGGACAAAAGACAAAGCCATCCCTTCCAGAGAGCTGCCATTCCAGTTAGAGGTAGACAGGAAAACACAGAAGCATAAATCAGAGGTTGCAAAGTCACTCTGTGCACAAGTAACTAGTTGTCTACCCGATGGAGCATCTGAGGGGGTTCATGACGAGTTCATGCAGTGTAGCTCCACCACAGAGACTGAGTTCTTTCTTTATGCCTAAAACAGATGCCCACATTTCCTACTTAGCAATGGCCTAGTGTCAGTTCTTGCCATAAGCTAATCACTAGGTTAATCACAGAAAGCAATGGCATCACTTATCAAAGCCAAAGAATATAGACCTTCTCATGGGCTTACAAGGAGTATTACTCCTTTACAGAAGAGTAAACAAAAGCTCAGAGAGGTGAATTAACCTGCTTAAGGTCATACAGCCAGTGTGCAGCACAGAGACTTCAGTCAACTTTTCTTTTACTTTTTTTTTCTTTTTAAGAGATTGGGAACACAGTCCAACTGACCTTCACAATGAGATGTAAGCTGTGTTTGCACTGAGAACAGAGCAGAGACAGCAGTCAAACAGATGTCACACCCTAAAGTCAGACCTACCAACACATCTCCCCTCTTAAGTGCATTTAAAGATATGCAAATGCCCTTAAACATGTGTAGTACGGGAGTGTTGTTTGCATGTGAGTCCTCCACATATGTGGTCTTCTTGAACTGCCTTCTGGCTTCCCCTTTGTTCAAGCTAGGGGAATGCTGAAGGTCAGTTGACTTCACATCTTGCAAGCAGGAGTGTTCCAGTGTTTTCAGTCCTGTATCTACTTACCTGCAAGGATGGCTGTCTCCATGTGCAACCCTAGTAAGGTAGAAGAACCAACCAGGCACAGGGGTGCCAACTACAAGCATAGAGGTGTTCTGTGAAAACTAGTAGATGCATCTGTTATTATGAACAATCCCAGGAACCAACACTATGATGAATATCTTCATATCGATCCACTCTTGGGCCAGGAAGAGACACACACCTGCGAGCCCTGTCTCCATGATTTTAGGGGATACACCCAGACATTCCTAGCCAAGTGGACTCTCGAGATACACACCAAAGGAGACAGAGGAAGGGGAAGCAGATTCCCAGAGCTCAGCAGAGCCTATCTGCTGAAGTCAACTCTGCCACGGCAGTGAGGATCACAGCTAGCAGCACCCAGGAACATGATTAAACTGTCTTGATCCATCGGAATCCAGAGGGTTAGAAACCCAGAGCTGGGGTGTATGGGAGGTGCTTTTGAAAGAGCTCCCCATAGACTACTCTGTGCTCAAGTTCAATTTTATGTTTGTGTTGGAATGATAAGAGGAAGCGAAATGAGGAAGGTTTGATTATGGTGACAGACTGTGGTAAGAACCAAGGCTAGGGAGAAGTCTGAAGGGAGAGAGACCCAGGGCAGTAAGCCAGAGGCCCATGGGGGCCAGAGGCCAGGATGGAACTCATTAGAAGACAGGAGAATAACAAGAGCTTGCACACATTTGTTCGTTCAACAGACGTTTATTGTCTCCAGTGTGCCATGCACGACATGAGGCCCTGGGGTACAGCACTGTACAAGCTGAAAGAGGTCATGGGCTTCTTGGAGCTTACATTCTATGGGAGAGAATAAAAATAAATATGTTAAATAAAAATAAGCAAGAACTAAAATAAACAAACAAAGAAGGATGCAGCCAATAGAGCCAGGTGCCAAAACAGCATTTTCCATCACAGCCAAAAAGTAGAAACAGTCCAAGTGTCCATCAGCCAATAAGCAGAATGTGGTGTATGAAATGGAATATTACTCAGCCATGAAAAGGAAGAAGGGAGTCCTGACACCAGCCCCAACATGAATTAAACTTGAAAATCTTATGGCCAGTGAAAGAAAGCAAACACAAAAAGGCCTGGGTTTTATGGTTTTGTTTACAGTAAATGTCTCGAATAGACAAATCCATAAAGAAAAAGTACAATCATGGTTGCAGAGTCTGTGTGGGAATTGACTGCTAAGCAGTTAGTGCTTCATTAGACTTAGTGGCTCAGAAGTAAATTAATGGGAGAGATGGGGAGAAATGATAAGACAACATGCTATGAAGAGGTGAGACTTGAGTGAGCAGAGATGTGCTGGTCATGTGATGCTGTAGCTTGGATCTGGACTCAAAGATGCATGTCAAAGGCTCAGTTTCCATCCTGACACTGTGGATGATGGCGAGGACTTTAAGAATCAGGGATAGTTGGAGGTCTTCTGGTCATTGGTGGCATGTCCTCAAAGTACTGTGGGACCTGGTGTCTTCCTTTCTCACTGTTTGCACAGCTGTGCTCCATCACATGCTCCTGCTAAGACATGATGCCTCATCGCCAAGGTCAACAGATTGTGACCTGAAACTTCCAAAGGCTGTAAGTCAAAACGAACCTTTTCTCTGTATAAGTTGATTAGTTCAGATGTTTGCTGCAGTAACAGAAAGCTAGCTCGCACACAGGAAGGTGATGGAAATAATGTATCAGGCAGGACATACAGAAGAATAGGCAAGCAAGCTAATAAAGCTGTAACAGGGCAAATGGGGGGAGGGGAGAACATAGCAAGGGAAAGATTGTCATAACCCATTTTGCAGGGTAAGGAACTGCCTACATGAACTCCGCTACTCACTGAAGGAGTGAGTGGAGTCCCAGTCCTGAGTGTCTGAAATCAAAGTCCATGCCCTTTCCTACCTCTGCAATAGGTGTGGTCTGAAACTCAGGGAGGCTTCAGGGAAGGGGAGTGAGTTCTGAGACAGCACAGGGCCTTGCAAACCTAACTTGCCTTTTTCACTTCTAAACAGGCTCTTCATCCTCGGCTGCAAAGGATCGCCGAATTCTTCTGGAATTGAATGGAAAATTTGTTTGTGCCTTTTTTTCTTGAGCAAAGAAGCCATAACTTTCATCAAATTCCCCACAGGTTCACCCCCAAAGCACCAAAATAGTCAAGCTTTCCAGGGACAACAAAGCAAGGGTTTGGAGTGGCAACCTTAAATGTGGCTGGCATAGGTCCCTGTGCAGCTTCAGGGTACTGTGAACTGTGATACTCCAGCCTCAGAGTGACAAGGTCTCCCAGAGCTGTCCTTCCCAAGGCATGCAGTGGGACCAAAACCTACAGATCTCCACATTCTGGATGAAGAGCATCAACAGCATGCTTGGCTCACTGCAGGAAATGCATAAAATGGTCTGGGGTGGGAAAAACAATGCCCATGTATGGCTTTTAGTCATTAAAATGAGAAAACAATTCCATCCCGTGTGTTGACGCCACTCTCTGCACTGGATCCACATAACAGATGGCAGGAGTCAGGGACTAAAGACCAGGGGAGGCAGCCACGGGAGACACCCTCACCAGGACCCTTACTGCAGCCATATGTGTCCCAAAGGGAAGATAAACAATCAATTCTAAACATTAGATCAGGCTGATCATCATGAAGCAGGCATGTGGCTAAATGAAGAGCTCTCCTCTAGAAAAGCAAAGGCTGAAGGCAGGGCTGCTAAAGCAAGTAACAGAAACAACATGGTAGGCCAGGTGTGGGGGTGCACACCTGTAACCCAGCAATGGGCATTCCTGCTGAAGCAGGGATATGGTAACTGTGAAGCTACCCTGAGTTACACGGGGAGTTCAAGGTCAGCCTAGGCTACGTAGTGAGTCCCTAATGAAAAACAGAACAGGGAAAAGGGTTAAGAGAGAAGAGAGAGAGAAGGGAGATGGGAGGGGGAATGGAAGGAGAGAGGGAAGGGAAACAAGATGAATGAGATGGAAACAGAGATGGAAAGAGAGGGAGATAGAGAGGAGAGAAGAGTAAAAAAAGGAAGAGGAGGAGGAGAGAACTCCACTCTCCATTAGCTGTTTATAAAGTTAAAACAGGATTGGTCTATCAGATCCAAACAAAGTCATCCAAAAAGAAAAAAATCAAAACTCTCAAGAACATTCAAAGCATGGATTTATTTGTGTGTGAGGAACATCATCCTTAGTATACACAATGCCTTGGAATTTTAGCTAGTGGAAGCAGGAAGACATCACAACTAACTACAGACTTCAAATAATGTTTATTTTCCCACCTTCCACACAGTACAAAACTTTCCTTATGCATGCTTTACAATACACTTTATATTTGTTCATAGGTCCTGGCATATACTAATTAACAAAATGAGCATATTATGGGGTACATACTGAAACATTTTTGAGTATGGATGTGTCAAAACCTGTAATGAATCAGTGGAAAGGACCTTCTATTCATCCCAACAAAACAAACAACACTTCAGGGTTTGACACATGACTCTGGTGTCTGTCCAGCTTCAGTGTGATTGTAGAAGACACAAGATTATCTGGAAATCTTGCTAAAGCAAAAATTCTGATTCAATGACTAAGATATGACCTAATATTTTAAAGGTCCTTAAACCAGCCAATGAGCACCAAGCTGCTACAGGTACTGACACTCTAAGCACTATAGTAATTTGGCCACATTGTGTCATGATGTTTGACAAAACTGTTTTCTGGGTGCCTCTGAGAGAGTGCTTTTGGATGAGATAAACATGGAATTGGTAAAGTGAGGAAGGTAGATTTCCCATTGTAATGTGGGTAGGCCTTATTCAGTTATTTGAGGGTCTGAATTAAGTAAAGGATTGATCCTCCCCCAACTAACAGAATTCTCCTGCCAGACAGCCATGGAACTTGAGCATTGGTCCTTTCTGGTTCTGTAGCATCCTCTCTGTCAGCCTTCAGGCTTGACCTGAGATAGCAGGTTGGAAAATTTTGGACTTGATAGTTTTATATAATAGAGCTTTTAATATATTGATTCTGTTTCCTGGATCATCCTGTCTCATTAGGGTCCCTCACAGAAGCAGCCACACTTAGACTCCTTTGCCTCCCTACCCCTGACACACATACACTCTTAACCAAGTTCATAACAGTTG